TCAAAGACCCAAGAAAAGAAAACAATTCTCATCCCCCCCACCCTATGAAGCATCCATCCACTCTAGATGCTCAGATAGCTGTACAGGAAACAGGCTGATCAAAGAAATTCTTCGCTTAATATAAACAGAGCGGTTTGTGCGTTCCTTATAAATAAATAATAATCAGGTCGGCTACTCGGGGAATGGAGAGCCGGAACAGGCTTGTAAACAGTGGATAGAGACAACGTATGTATGCATGTAATGCAACGCTGAAGTGTATGGATGGGGTGTATGCATGTATCCATGTTAGCAAGCCGGCAGAGCGGATACGATGCCAAAGAACTATGTTTCCATACACCTCCCAGCCGCCTATTGAGCAAGCTATGCGGGATGCCGCTCCCCCGCTTCATGGTCCTTGTGGAAAAGCTGTCTGTACCTTTTATCACCGTACATCTCGTTTAGCTCGGTGTTGTTCATCATAATCTTTAGAGGCCCTGTGAGCCTGCTCTAGGATTGCTCTATACCCAATGAACTCAGATCTATTACGGAACCCATTCAAGAACTGCTCAGGAGATTGGTTGATATTGTCTCACTATTACTGGGAGTTCTCGATTGACTACAAAATCCAAGCGGGTGGAATAGCGATATCGAGTAGGTATTGATTCGTATTCCTAAGGCTAACCAGGGAAGGCTCCAGCCCGCCTGTTTTCAAACCAGAAGAATACTATTAATTGGAACAACAAATGAATCAAGAATCAGCCGACGAATCCTGCATTGCGGCCTTTTGCTTCTCCTAGTTTTCCTTCTGCTTGATCTTGCTACTCTTCGCCGCCTAAATCATCAACTCCTTTTCCTTGTCACTCAGCTTCGGCAGGGCGTCAGACAAGCGCTCCTTCAGCTTCTGTTTCTCGACCTCAATTTGGTCTTCAGAGGTAGGCGTAAGGGATGGAAAAGGGGCGATCAGTATGCTGCCCGACTGTAACGATTCCGTAACTCGTGAGGGGATACACTCAAGCGAATCTCGATTGTTGAGGTAGTAACTGAGAATCGACGCGAAGCTTTCGCGAGCGATCACAGACGAAGCAGACTGTCGCAAAAAATTTGTCGCCCGCAGTCTATTCAGCAAAGTAGTTCAGCGCATTCAATTCCATGAAGGACCGTTCCAGCTCTACTGTGACGATTTCCGCCCCTCAAACGTGCTGGTGGACTTAAAAAATTTTCCGTATTGCGGCAGCTATAGACTGGGAGTATACTTACGTGGCCCTCACTGAATTTAGCTCCGTGGCTCCATGGTGGCTTCTCCTGCAGGCTCCAGAAGATTGGGAATCCGATCGCATGGAGTTCTTAACTCGCTATAAGCCGCGTTTTCATCTTTTCCTTGATGCTTTACGGGGGGCCGAATCGGACATGATATCTGATGGTACGTTGCTCGAGTCTCAGAGGCTGTCGCCACGCATGGGCGAGTCTTTGGATAACGGCCTGTTCTGGGTGTGTCTGGCAGCACGGTTCAGTTCCATGTTTGATGAGATATACTGGACGTTCATTGACAAGACTTACTACGGGGAATTCACAGTCCCTTGAGGACCGATTACAGTATCTGGACCATGAAGAGCGGAACAAGATGGACGCAATTTACCCCATTAAGATGAAACAAGCAGAGGATGGCAAAATCGACCCCCATTATTCACTTGATGGTATCATGGAGCTGTAGCCGCTGGCTTCTTGCTTTGGTAGATTGTTAAATTCAGGTTTGATGGGAGGTTATCAACAGCTTTTGGAGTTCGTGGACAGGGGTGTTTTTTCTGTAGTTCAACATAACATTCAGCGATGATGATTGTGGATTTAGTATTCTGGCGGCGACAGTCCTCAGACAAAAATCAGGCGTGACTCCTGGTCGCAACAGTACCTGTGTAAATATCTATGGAACGTTTATAAACGAGGTAGTAGCATGAGCAACTCATTATGTAGTACAAGGATTCCCGACTCGAAAAATCGAAATAGCTGTGTATTGTTGTTTTCTTTTCCTCTTCCAAAAAAGAACCTTGAACTTGACGAACTTAACACTTCGTTCAGTTTACTATCAAATTGGCGAATGGGAAAGTCCCGTAAATAA